AAAAAGAAAAAAAAAACGAATCCGCCGGTGCCAGAACAAATCAGGTTCCAGTGAAGTTAACAAATGTAACGGTGTGAATGCGGAAATAATTAGGATCATGGAAATAGAAGAGAATTAAAGGATTCTATAAAAATGGTTGGTGAAATTCGAATTCGAAGATCGTTTGAAGACATGCCTCTGGGTTGCATTAATATAAGTTCAGGAGCCCTTATTAGCGAAAGTCAAAATATTCATAATATTTTAAAAGACATCATTAGGTATGATAAGGACCAACATACATCAACAGATGACAGTATGATAAACAATCAACAAAAGTAATGATATTCATGAATTAAATTTCAAATTGGTGATTTTTCCATGAGCTGTGGTGCGAATAATCTTCTTTGATTACATCGTCCTAAAAAATATCAAGTCGATCTTGCTTTACTAGGTTTCATGAGCTTAGAATTTGAAAACTACATACTTTGAAAAATTACTCAAATTCAATACTCAATTGTTTTAAATAAACCAAAAACAAAAAGTCCATTCAAAAAAAGCGCTTCATACTTGTGTAGATAATAATGAGAGCTTTGACTTGAGACTTTGGCCACTCCTCTAACTTGTATACATCAAGAGTAATCCATTTAATAAGATTTAAAAAATCCTATTTGTCTAGAAACGACTGATATGGGGCCTTACGGTGATTCGGTCAGGTTGTGAATTGTAAAATCAGCAGCTAAATTCTTAAAAGAAAACCTATATGATAAAATTAGTCCTTAAATGGGGAATTAAATCCTGTTTTTGTACAAAGAAACAAACAAGAATATCATCAAAGTGTGAATTTTTGTAATAACGACTACAACGTAACGAAACATTTATCATATCATTAGTAAAACAGGATTTCAAAATAGTTGATCGAAATTGTATACATATTCTAAAGTAGTTTACAATAAATCAGACTGCCGAAGCAATTTTCGCTTCTTTCTTCAATGTCTGTTCGAAGAATTCGTCGATTAAATTTATTGCTTGCTGTTTAAGTCCATTTAAGACATCAATATAAGACACAACTTGAAGAGTGTAAATAACTATTCCCGACTGCTATTAGTCCATAATAAGGAAACGCTTCATACGTGATTCGACTTATCCGTACGGACAGACAGACAGAAAGTAAGCGATACGCGATGCATGCGCGAGTATGTCAAGTCCATAATTCATTCTTTCTGACTGCTATAAGAAGAAACGCAGCCGATGTATGACAACCGAACGTTGGCGCTGGGAACTTCCGAGGAACAAAAAGAACAATGAGTCTTGAACAATATTTATCAGTGAGGCAAGGTCGACATCGTGATATTCTATTTATAGACGCAATAGAGAGACAGATCTATGACCACATACCGAAGATCTGAAGGAACACCGTCGTGTATTTATGATACTTTATGATACTGCAGGATCTGTAATACAGTAGCTAGTACAATTAACAAATCGTATTCTTTTTATCTTTTAAAATAGTTAATCATCATCATAAGGTCGTCAGTCTTAAGACTGGTTGGACACGCACCTCCACTCTTTCCTATTATTCTGAGCTAATCTTCGTATTTCCCCAAAACTAGAACAACCCACATCCTTAACCATTTGCGAACAGTAATCTAATCTATAGGGTTGTTCGGAAAGTCATTTCGTTTTTTCCCGACAGAGGATTTAATTGTATTTTTTTGCACCCAACTTCACATTTAAGCCGTATAATTTTTATATGCTTTGAGAGCTCATATAGCAAGGCTTGTGTGTGAAAAATTCCAATTAATTCTACGCAGTAGTTTTTGGTTGGTGCCCTTTTAAATATGGAGAGCGATAAGCAGCATTTTCGACATATCTTACTGTTTTACTACAGAAAGGGTAAAAATGCTGTTCAAGCCAGAAAGAAATTGACTGATGTGTATGGAGAAGGTGTGTTGACAGTACGCCAGTGCCAGAACTGGTTCGCTAAATTTCGATCCGGCAATTTTGATGTCGAAGATGCACCACGTTCGGGAAGGCCGGTTGAAGCTGATAAAGACGCGATAAAGGCATTAGTTGATGTGAACCGGCGAATAACAACACGTGAGATCGGATTGAGGTTAAATTTATCAAATTCAACAGTTTATGACCACTTGAAAGGCCTGGGATTATCCTCGAAGCTCGATGTATGGGTTCCCCATGTTCTCACAGAGAGAAATCTGTGTCGCCGCATTGACGTCTGCGATTCGCTTCTCAGGGTCACGAAAATGATCCGTTTTTGAAGCGCATCATCACTGGGAACGAAAAATGGGTTGTATACAACAACGTCAAACGCAAGAGGTCATGGAGCAAGACAACGTAAGACCTCACACAAGTTTGGTCACTAGCCAAAAGCTTTTACAAGGTGATGCTGTCTGTTTGGTGGGATTTTAAAGGAATCGTTTTTTTTTTGAGCTTTTACCGGATAACACAACGATTAATTCGGAAGTCTACTGTCATCAGCTGGACAAACTGAATGATGCACTTCAACAGAAAAGGTCAGAACTAATCAANCCCTATAGTTTTGTGTATAGGGGAAAATCCTCAAAGTGGATGTAAAAGTGAGAAGCAGGAAGATATGTCTGAAATGATAGATATGCTAAAAAAAGACTCGATTGTGACGAAAGTGATGAAAAAGTGGTTCAACAATGGATGGATATGTATGAAGATACCGGGTACCAAATTATGCAGGATAGCGAAATTTTAGACCTTAAGACCAATAAGGCTGACGCCACCCCTAGCTCCTCATCATCTATAAGTTCAGATAATGAAGATGAAAACATAATTGGTGCTGCTGAAGCGATTACATGCTTAGATATTGCCTTGCGTTGCTTTGAAACACAAGCCGAAAGCGACCAGTATGAAATATCTGTCCTTAAAAAAGTACGTAACCTAGCCTCTAGAAGCTTACTTCTGCAGACGAAGATTGAAGATTGTTTTAAGCGTTAATTGTACCTAGTACATACATGTTTTACTACAAGATCGTCTGCACTTTTTTTTTGTTTAATTCCTGTTTGTCTTTTGTGATTTTTTTGCGAAAAAGTTCGAGTTCATGCAGATGGGCATTTCAAGAGTCCACATAACTAAAAGTACAGATATTTTGAGTAAAATCACCGAGTGGAACTTCGTACTGGTTTTGAACTTTACTCTTTACTAGTGTGGTCTCCCTCAAACCCCACCCCCTAGTACAGATCCTCTTTAATAGTTTGAAACTCTGTCTTCAACCGTAATCTCACAATGATTGAGAGGACAAGATCTTAACTAAGAATGACATCCTAGGGTATAGAAACTCGTTTTATGATTTTCAAACGTTTTTATGAGAAGTTTTGAGTTATACAAAACTGTACTACCCTTTGAAAATGGTTTAAACACCGAAACAATCGTCAGAGAAATAAATGAACATTGTGAAACTTGCCAAGTGTTTTAATTCCTTTACTTTAATTTTATAAAAATGTTTCACCAAGTGCCAAGCGAATCTACAATTTCAAATGAAATAAGTAATATGCTCAAAAAGTAAAACCGCAGCTCTCTCCCACTTCCTAAAAAATCCAAAACCTTAAAACAAGGTAATAAATCTTAAAAAAAAAAAAAACAGCAAATTGAGTGAATTTACGAAACGTTTTGAGAGAATCCCCTTTTATAAATCCAAATCAACACCAACAATTCGATTTTGTTGCTAGATCAACAGAACATCAGACTTACAAATGCAGCTGGTAGTTCAATGATCGCTTGAAAAAGTTAGAAAAATGTGGTTTATGGACAAAGGCGATCTAATCGCGTGTCCATTCCGAACAAATTGCTCGTAATGGTGAACATTAAGTTCCAATAAATCTCGACTACGAACTTTTATTATCGTTCTTTAAACGAAAAGACATTTCGACGACGTTTCTCATTATTAAGCGCGAAATTTCTTTGAGATGTCCTTTCTGGTTACACAAAAACGATCTAACGAGTCAATGTAAAGGTGCTAAAAGAAAAGCTCATGTTTACACAAAAAAAATCAGAATACTGAGCTAGAAGATAGAGAAAAATAGTACACCTACATAGAATGTATGGGGAAATAGAACACAATATATAAGACCGTCTAATTATAATTAATCTTTACGTTTAAAAATTAGGATTGCAACGGATATCCGCATCCCGCAGGAAAAACCAAATTTGGAGAAAATTATTGTGGATGAAACATATTCTAGAATATATATATATATAAAATAAAGAGAAAAAGAAAACGAGAATAAGAGTTATAAACGGACAGTAAATTTTGAAAAAAAGGAATAAAATATAAGAATGGAATAAACTTTCTAAATTCAGTAAATATGATTGATGAAATTAATTTGAAAATATCATCATCTAAGGATCGATAGTCTTAAGAGCACCTCGAATAATTTTATTCGAATAAGCTAACGTGCCTATCACGTTGAGATTGGCTACGCCGGGATTCGTTTTCAGCAAGTAGATATCCACACAAGTGGACCTTGTTGGAGCATACGTAATCCTAAAATGTAGCATCGTGCTACAGATGGCGTTTACTGCGCCATTTGTAGTATTTTCTAAAACGCACTGTTAAGACAGCAGGTAAAAGTTGGTCTGTGTTCTGTCGGAGCTGCCTGCGACGCGCTGATGAGATCCAAAAAGATCGAAATCGCGATCCGCGTCTGGCAGTTTCGACAGAATACAGACCACTTCGAATTATTTTATTCGATTAAGCTAACGTGCCTATCACGTTGAGGTTGGCTACGCCGGGATTCGTTTTCAGCAAGTAGATATCCACACAAGTGGACCTTGTTGGAGCATACGTAATCCTAAAATGTAGCATCGTGCTACAGATGGCGTTTACTGCGCAATTTATAGTATTTTCTAAAACGCACTGTTACGACAGTAGGTAAAAGTTGGTCTGTGTTCTGTCGGAGCTGTCTGTGGTGCGCTGATGAGATCCAAAAAGATCGATCCGCGTCTATCAGTTTCGACAGAATACAGACCACTTAGTGAATTATTTTAGTCCTAAGACTGTTCGGATATGCTCCTCCACTCTCTCACTTAGCTAAGCTTCGCATTACCTTAACAGTGGTATATCCTACATTCGTAACTATTTGTGAATAGTAATCTAATCTAGGTCTTACCCATGACACACAGAAATCTATTTCCTAGGAAGATCGGCTTTACCTGTAACAAAAGTAGAAATAAATTAGTTTTACAATAAACAAATCGCAACTTTTCTCAACAAGAAACAACTCTATTTATACAATAATATTCAAACATTAAAGTAAAAATAATTCGATTTCACTCACTACAAATTACGTCGAATTAATGACCAAACATTGTTACTACTGTCATACCCTCGCCGGAATTCGAACCCGGGACCTTTGGCTTTACGTTTTTTTTTTTATTTAGATTTTTCTCGATGAGGAGAAATTTTCAAAAAATACAGGTAGCGTCGGATTTTACTGACTAAAACTTCTCCTTGAGTGGGAAGATCAATCAGAAGGTTGTACATCCCCGGGTAACAGCAACAAAGACTAAATGTACTAATTAGGTCACTGCTCTGAAAAGTGGTGTGTACATATAAATAAAATTAAAGAAACGAAGCACTTTCTTGATTAAACGAACAAGTACCAGCTTAGACCAGAAATAACAAACCAAAAGTTCTTGGTCTGTGGTCAGACATGGGTCACAATTTCGACCTGTTTGGTCCTTATGAGCACGCTGTAGACAGTTTCGCCAAAATACCAACCAATTTACTTGCTGCCTTTAAACAACGTTGACTAAATTTGTTCATTAATGTGTTACAAGGTCCTTTAACGATTAAGGATAACGACTTGTAGACTAAAAATTGATTCGTTCGAAAATTGACTGTTGTATAAATTGCAAGTGTTTTGTACGTAAAATTACAAAAATAAAAATCATCGCTACGGCGTCCGAGTTGCCAAAAATATGAATATTCGTTTTTATTTTAATACCGACCTCAGTTTATTTATTTACTATGTAACAACTTTACGATAAAAAAATGCGACGATAATAAATCAAACTTATGTTTGCAGGTAGAGCATGTTAATAGTAAAGTTCCCGCGATATAATAATAGCACATCGTCATTTAATAGCGACAACGAACTTATATCAGACTTTACTAGTTCGTTTTTAATCTTTTATTTAAGGGGCTTGGATTTGTAAATATTGTTATTCTTTTCAAGTGTTGAATGTTACCTTCGAAGAGTCATCGACCCAATCTTATTCAACAATCTTCAGTGCAAATTTAGCTCAATTGTATGGTACTACAGATATACATGCGTATAATAGAATTTAAATTGAATTCAAAAGATTTTCTCGGAGAAGTATAATTTGATTTATTTATCTGATAACTTACCAAATGTGAAAAAAAATGATATGTCATTCAAGGTGGTTCTCAAGCTGGTCTTATAAGTACAATGAATTAATTGTGAGTAAAACAGTAAAAGGCTTGATTGATTGTATCTACTAGATAAAAAATAATATCTAAAAGAAGCCAAAGTTAGGACAAACAAGTAGGTTTCATTTTCACTTTTGATTTTAATGAAAATATTTAAGTCATTGTTTACAAAGACATTCATCGAACCTATTTCGCGAAATTATATAGATACCGTTTGTTTTTCTACCATTATTGTACAGGGTATCCTATTATCGGCACTTAGGCGGTGTATCTACCCATGTCCTTTAATGTACCCCTGACAATATCTGTACAAAATTAAGGTGTGAAATCGACCACCACTAAAACAAATTCTTCCTATCCCTTAGGAACAGTGTAATTTTTTTGGGTAATGGGTATCCTATGTCTTTTTCTGTATCCTTGACAATATGTGTACACAATTTCGTGATAATCGATTGAGTAGTTAAGACGTAAAAATGTAACAAACAAACTTTAGGATTAGAATATATACAAAGTCTAGTTAAGGCAGAATGTCTCCATCTCTTGATAGTTGCTACCAACTAAAGTTTTTCAAAGGTTATAGAAGGGCCTTATTAGGATATCTAGTTGTCTAAGTAAATCGTAACTGGATAGTATACGTCTGCAGGTCCACCAATCCTATAAATACAAACCTCAACTGAACGTTTTTTCACAAAAGAATGCTTTATTCATATGAATACATTCTGTATATTATGCATGATGAACATAGAATGGAATACAATGTGTAGAATTCCGGCAACGACTATTCGATTTTTGAAAGAGGAACCATTGTAGTAAGCAGTAACAATTATATACCCCCAGTTGTGTAGAAACCTTTTATGGTCAATCGGGTACAATACATTCGCTGGAACTCGCTTACAATAGGGTGCATTCAGAAAAACGTATGGATATACAAACCTTACTGCAGACTTATTTAAAATACTGTTCGAAGGACACATATAATAGAAATTCTTTCGGAATTTTAGGGATACAATTCAATACAATACCTATATTCCATTTTTTTGTAAAATAATTCATTAACAATACTGTTAGGTGTGGGGTAAGAAAATACAATAATTGCTATATTGTGTTTCACTGTTTATTTAGTTTTTTGAACGTCGACAAGCTAGTTCGTTAATAAACCAATGAGCTGGCTGTTTTTGCGATTATAGAGATATTTTATAGTAGTAGAAAGATGATTTGGCATTAAAACATTAAATATCTCTGGTTAATTTACAGCTGGATCCTATATCTAAAGCTAAAATGTGAATCAGCCGAATAAACTTCTTCAGAATAATTAGTCCTGCAAGTCCTTGAAGCATATCCCGTTACTATACGATTTAAAAGCGCTCAAAACATTTCTGAGAATTCTATACTTTCCAATGTATTATTATTATTATTAGCATTATTCAAAAATGAGGCCTGACATCAAAAGATGTACCTTACCAACAGGTGTTGAACTGAACGTTCGTCCTCAAACGTCTTTTGTATTGATTTCATGCACGAGGGATCTCAAATCAATAGCCCTTGAGGTGGCAACTATGGCAGGTAGTTTTTATATTGTGCAGTCTTGGGAGGGAAGGAGCAAGGACAAAAGAAGAAGCGCAGGTGGTTACGGTAATGATCGTATTCGGTGTTGTGCATCATCGGAGTAGAAAGAAGACCCTGAGAATGTGCAGTCATCTGTTTCGAGGAAGGTAGCAGATTTTTTTTACAATATTAACCATAAACGACACCTCTTAACAACTATACTAATGATGGTCATCACGAGCAAATTTTTTAACCGAGACGATTGAGTTTAATAGGTACATTATTATTAACAACAAATGTAGAAATTCAATAAATTAAAATACGCTTTATGCGTTCTCAAGTTATGTACTGATGTCTAATTGGCTAGACTGGGTAAGAGCCCAGGAAGGAGCCGCGATTAATGGGGACCTCCTTGTTCCTGCTAGATTACTAACCAATAACCGATAGGTTTATTCTGCAAAAACCTTTCTGATGAACAAGGAGTGTAATACTAGCCTAATAGGCTTCTTCCTTAGCACCAGGAAAACTTAAACCTTGCAAATCTTCAGGATAGGAAAGGGGGGAGGTGTGTCTCGGACCACTCTTAGGACTGACGACCTTATGATGATGACAAATCTACATAGATTTCGTCACGATCCAGTCAAACAGTTTTAACACAAGAAATTAAAAATAGTAAAGTTCATCTTCAACTATTTAGAGTTTAGACCTTCTTCTGGATCAAAAACTTGACTTCTTTGACCAATAGAAACTTGAGACTGAAAAGCTTAGTACCCACTGACTAGAACTAAAAAATAACGGTGTTTGGAAAAACTATGAAGGAGCATCTAACAGCTGATAAATGAAAGTAGGGTACCAAAAGGGTGTTAACGAGATTGAAAAATACCTGCAGTTTAGAAATATTAAGAATTTCAATTTAATCCCAAAACACCGAAAAAACCCATCGTAAAAATGTAATTAAGACGTCATGCTGTTAGTACACGAAAGATGAAATGTTACAGGGATTACAAGAAAGTATCACTTGTACTTTCCTTTATACAGCAAGACAGAACACAAATGAAATTAAACAGAGTATTTGAAGAAATGTTTACACACCCACACAGACACGGGTCGTAACACAAAAGAACTCATACATTTACACACAGGAGTATATATAAAAGATAGACACAATTACAACAATAGTAACACGATACAACAGTATATATGCAAGTATAATGTAGAAATGGAAATTTTGAGGAAATATGATTAAAATTGAATGTAGGTGACTGTTTTTTTAACAATATTTTGATTACCATTGGAGTTGAGGGAGGGGATTGTGCTTTAAAGTCGCCGGTTCATCTCGGCACTGTATTTTTCCAAAGGTAATTATAGCTTTCGAAGCTATAGATATACATATTATATATATCTAACGAAGAAACTATCTATAGAACATAACAGATTTTTTCTAATTCGAATGCGTCTACTATTTAGTTGTCCTCAAAGAGACTAACGCCTTTTTGATGTATCTAGTGGATTAACAGGACCATGGAGATGAGTGTCAAAACGACGGAGCGGCGGTGGTCTGTCGGTAAACTTATGAAGAAATTAGTCAGATGTGTAATTTATGTACATCTACTTTCACATTAGGATGTGAGCAGAGATGTGATTTATTTGAAATATTTGCATTTAAAATGTAAATACAAAATAAAAAATACCCATTTTTGGCTTGTATGTAAATACTTTTTTGGGAAAAGCATTTTGTATTTTATTCGAAATACTTTTCCAAATGTATTTTCTATTTGTAAAATGCAAAATACATTTTTGCCGTTAAAAGTTTTGCTAGTATCAACGATTGAACATGCTCACATTGGCCATTGGAGCTATTATAAGCCTAAAAAGGGAATAAGAGATATTCCATGAATGCCTTCTAATTCTTTAACTGAAGAGAGCCCAAAAATTTCTAAACTCCTTGTAAATGGATAATCTAAAATATTGGACCGATATTGTTTTCTAGGTTCAATGTCATGGTGCATGGAATTTTGAAGTTCCAAATTGATATCAGCACCTGCCAAATCACGACTTACCATACCCTCAGCAAAGAACTACGAAATTCTATGGATTACGACAAAACAGCCTGCAAAACAATATCGAATTGATATACGTCAGCTGTGTAGAACTATAAACTACAAGATATTGTAATGTGCTAATAAATCCTTATAATCCAAAACTCTTAGAAAAC